CATTCCTGCACCTAAAGTCATCATAAGGCTAACTCTAAAGAATGGATGTCTGTATTACTGATTTCCAGAGAACAGTTGTCTTTTTCCCCACCACGTGTTAGTTATTGATGAACTGTGTAACTTAATCAGCAGTATTCTGTTGCTGGCAGATAGCTAATGGAAAGATATATCAAAATATTCACACAGGAACCCTTCTCTGATTTGCTAGGCTTCCCACTGTAGATTGAGAAGAATTGATATTGATGTAGTCTTATCAAAGTAGTCTGAATTGCAGAATAGAGAAATGTATTTGTTCTTGGATAGATGAGTCCTTTATCAATGTAACCATTCTTAAAGCCCTTGGTCTCTGACTCCCCTAGTATGCTCTTGTACAGTAAGTGTGTAGTATCGTAAACACCTGTTCTTGCATTCCACTGAATGTCTATAGCTGAATAGGAAAGTACATAGGTTCTTAATGTGTTTGCACAAAGTTTAGCAATTGTTAAAGGTCTGATTTTTATCACACTGTTTTATGACTTAACACTGGAATAAAATTATTTTCTTCTTTGCAAAGTTTTAGTGGTATGTATATTGGCTTGCCTTATTTCACATTTTTTCCAACAAATGAAGTAACACTTCATACAGAGATGAGGTAAATAGACTGAAACCTATCTTAGTGCTTCTCCAAACCAAGGTTCTTTGTATACTGCATACATTTTGCTTCTTTTTATATCTTGCCATACACACCTATGCCTAAAATTTGTGCATCTGAATTTCAAGATTAGCTTTATCTGTAAGTGTTCTATTTTATATGAACTCCAGTTACTGCAGTCCAAATGCATTGAGTAGCTTAATGTTTTGACACTGTAATGCTGCTGTGCCTCCTCCCCCTTTAATAATCTTTGTTTGCATAAGGGCTATAAAAGTTTACATTTTTTCAGGTACTGCTCTCTGTCTTTTGCCATCAGCAGACCAAATCATTCCATGTCCTCTCTCCATCCTCATTTTCTTCTCTGGCAAAACATAATCACTTAAATAGATGTTCTTAGCTCTTTTGGGTGAATAGGACTGAGCAGGGACCGTGGGGAAGGACTTACTCAAGGGTTATTTCAATTGTTCCTTGACGTGAGTCACTGCTTACTGGGATTGTTCCTTTATTTTAGTCCCAAGCAAGCTAGTTTACGCAATGAATTTAACTTGAAGATGTTAATTTCTGTCACTTATGAGCTGCTTTGTTCCTCTGCTATTGTTGACCATGGTGTAGGATGTGCTAGGGCACAGTGCACACGCTGTGCCCCAGTCCTCTCCAGTCAATGGAAAAATCCAAAAATAGTTCCCAAGTCCTTGTTTCTCCCTCTCGATGCTGTTTCCCCAGCATAGCCCTGAATGCTAGAGCTGGCAGCTCCTGGAGACTTGGGCAGTGCCTCTGTCCCTCTGGGTAGGACTGTGTGTCCATTCTGGGAGATGCTGAAGGTAAAGCTGACCTGGGCCAGCCTTCACCTCTGTCTCCACATGCTTTTGGGAGGTAACGTGATTGTAGGTTTGCCTGTGTGCTTAAGGTAGAACCCTGTAAGGGACGTTCTCTGAGGGCTGTGCGTGCAGTCTGTATTTACAACACTGCTGCTTTTTATCCTCTCGACCACATCATCTGGGACTGCCATGCTTAAATGCTGTATTGAGGGGTGGTTCTTGCTCTTTCCAAGGTGCAGAGTTTTGAGAAAGCGAAGAAACAACTCTCTTACAACCAGAAAGATTATCCCTTTTTTAATAGAACATGTGCCAGAGCAGCATGTGGGGTCCCTGGAGTTCACAGCTTCTTCAGCACAGGGTAACCAGAAGCAAAGGCAAACCTTACAGTGTGTTCTTGTTGATCTAATGCATTTCTTCGGGCAAACAACCAAGAATGTGGTTCGGGCATCTCAGCAGGTCTCCCCAGTTGCTGGGACAGTGAAGGCACAGGGGGAGCTGGCAAGCAGCTGCAGGAGGGGGAAGTCAGCCCAGCAGCTCTGTAGGACAGTGAGGGCAGCCTGGGAGCGGGGAGGCACAGGGGAAGGTGGGCTGGGGGTGCCTGCAGGGCTGCGGGGGCAGATTTGACAGGGCAGGAGGAGGAACCCAAAACTCTGGTGTGAACAACTGATTTTTATTGTCCAGCTTCTAAAACAAAGGACAGCGATGCGCAGGGTGAGCAGTACCCATAAGTCCAGTTTCTTTTTATGTGTTAACCTGTGCTCTGTCTGCCACAGGTTCCTTGTTTCTGAAATCCATTCTAGCAGGCTGCGGTAGTTTCTCAACTGTGGATTTACTGGGCTGTCCCTCTCCTTACAATCATGTCCTACGGAGTCTTACAGGGTTCTTAAAAGTAACAAGATCCTCCCCTAAAATCTTACAGAGGTGTCCTCATTCTCTTTTTTTTTTGGTGGGGGGTAGTTTTCATGTAGATTTAGGGTAATAAGTTTTTGTAATAAAAATACTTCCAAGAAGTATACCTTTTCCCCTTCAAGGGAGCAATGGATAAACTGGGAATCCCCTTCCTGCTGCCCCATGGACAGTGAGCAGTCCCAGCTCCTGCTCCTTCTGTACAGCTAGAAACAGCCCTGGTAAAAATAACATTGCACTCATGTAGCAAACAGGACAGTTTTGAAGCACCATGATTACAGCAGACTTCCTAATGCCAAGGGTAAGCACCAGCTGCCTGTTTCTTTCCTACTCTCTCCTGAGACCTTTTTTTCCCCATGCTGCTTAGCTGAGGCCTGATTTGGGGGACCAAAGGACCCTCACCCACCTAGACTTAAGCAGGGCACTGAGGTGCTGGGGCTGTGGAGCTGCTGCCAGAAAATGACAACTAATGGACCTAAGAAAAGCGAAACTATACAATATCATTCATTAACCCACTTCCTAGAGCTCGCTGTTGGATGCTGCTAAATGATTTACAAGCACCAACGGGGTGTTTCTGGGGGAATGATAGTGCTGTAAACTGACTGGGGAGAAGACAGAGCTGTTTGCTTCCTCTGTGGCTCCAGCCATTGCAAGGAGCACCCCACATGTGCAACCTTGTCCTCAAGGGCCAGGCGCTCCCTGCAGCATTGGAGGGAGGAGAGGCAGCATGGAGGAGACGGGCTTTTTGCCGCAGCATTGGCTGTGTCCACAGGGGATCAGGTCAACAGCAGCTGCCCCTGGCCATCCTCCTCCTCTCCAAATGGGCCTCAAACACCCTTCCCACCAGTGTGCTTCCCTGCAGCTGTGAAAAACAGATGTTTAAACTCTTCTGTGAGATGTCTCTTTTCTTTCTCTCCCTCCCCCTCGATAAAGACTCCTGCAGCTGAGCTCCAAGCATGGCCAGCAGCCACCAGCTTGGGCAGGACACAAGATCTTTGCAGGGCTTTAGGAGAGCCCTGACCCCCCCTAAATGGAGCAGTACTCCCCGCGTATGGTGGCAGAGACGCACTGCCTTCCAAGCGTGGTGTGGGGGTGGAGCACTTCTCTTGAGCATTCCCCTGCTGTCCATGAACACATCCTCTATAGCTAAGAGCACTCGCACAACACAGGCCCATCAATGTTTCGCAAGCAGCAAGCAT